TACAATATGTACCAGTTCCGACTTACATACAGATTCAACTTAAGAACAAACCTACAGTCCCTATCTTGTACGTAACCCGGGGACTGCCTGTACTTGGTTGGAGAGCATAGTCTAGGTCTCTTGTCAAGGGGCAACCAACCCCTGGAGGCTCCTTGAGCCTAATCTCCTTTGATTAGGTGACTTGACCATCACCAAGTCTATGTACAGGACAACTCATCAGTGTGAGTCTGTACCAAGGCCAGCCCACAACATTTTGGCACCTGAGGCGGGGAGCTCAAATGACTCCCCCATGTTCCCTTGCTTGGGCCAAAACTTTGAAAGGTCTCAATTCTGCCTTCTTCCTGTTCTACTCCCTCTCATGGCACTACACCATCTTTGTGCATCTAGAGCAGAGAGAATATATATGCACCAGTAGCAGACAGAGTTTTCCACCCTGGCGGCCCCCCACAGTCTGGCACCTGAGGCGGCCGCCTCAGTTCGCCTCATGGCAAGGCCAGCCCTGGTCTGTACTCACAATCCACAATTCAGAGTATTATGGCCTAGCGGCCTCAGCCACAGTATGGGTAAGTCTAAACTACGTTCTATTTGCGAAAGAGGATATGCAAATTCAGTGGGAATTTGCATATCTTCTTCCAATCTAACTTTCAAAAGCAGATCTTTCATTAGTGAAAGTAGTCTGTATGTGTTTTTTTTTTCAGGAAAAACCCCCTTTCAAAAAAACCACGTTATGTGTTGTTTTTTCAGGAAAAACCCCCTTTCAAAAAAACCACATAAACCTCATTTTTTAAGAGAGACTGTTTTTTTCCCCCCAAAAAGAGGTTTTTTTCCAGGAAAAAAAATGCATCCAGACTGCTTTCACTTTTGAAAGATCCACTTTCGGTCTTAGTCCATACACAAGACTCCCTTGTCGGGGTATCATGGCCCCATGGCCTAAGTCCATATGCAAGTTCCTTTGACTCAAGGTATTACAGCCCTGTGGCCTAAGTCCAGATGTGCAGGGAAAACTCCTCCATGTGGGAGTATGTACAGAGGGGGTAGGGAGACTCTCCCGCTCCACCAGGTCTTAGCCCAGGGCCCTGTTGGTAGTGGCACAGCCCATTGTTTGCTCAACAAGGAATCCTGCCACAACACACTGAACACTCGGAGATCAATTCCCCAACCTGGGCTACTTCCTACCAGTAACCTGACAGATGTCTTCCCTGTATGTTCACTCTGGTTCTGTGGCTCCTCAGGTGGCACCTCTTGGCCCGGCTGCTGCGGCTTGGTCCAGCTACACTTCCTCCTGTGGCACTCCTTCAGCACCTCCTTCCCCTTCAGCAGTCAGCCCAGACTGAGCTGCTCCAGAGGCTTTTATAGGCAGTCTCCACTTGGAGCATGCCCAGTAGGGATGTGGGGGTGGGGCCTTCTCACCCAGCTGGGCCAAGGTAACTCCGTCAGCTTCAGTGTGGAGTTGATACACCCCATCACACCTCTCAGAGGAAGTGTTGTCTTGTCCTTGACTGGAAGGGCAGTGGCTGTGAGGTGGGGCTGGCAGGTCAGCGAGGGGACACAAAAGAGTCTCCATGTGAATGAGCAGGCCATGTCTACTGTCCGTGCAAAGGGATGTGTTTGCACTGCCTGCAGTGGAGCTATGCTGATTTACATAGGAGAGAGAGCCTATGTTGAAGTTTTAAATTCAAAGCTCTTGCTGTTGCCCATTTCACATCCTTTGATTCAAATGAAGCTCCTGGGGGCTGGGGGAGGGGGTAAGGACTGTGGTGGTTTGCTGATGGTGGGGCAGTGGTGGTTCGGGGAGTGAAGGAGATGTACAAGCTGGGTGTTTGCATATTCTTATGCTGAGATTGAGAAGGGTGCAGTGTTCTGGGTTGAGTGTCTTGGCTCTCGTGGATGGGTGTGACTGTGTTTTTCACCACAAAGGGGAGGAGGGTGAGAAAGTGGAGGAGGAAAATGAAATGTCAATTTTGTGCCTGTCATCCTTCTTAGTGATCCTTCCAGTCTTAGCGTAGCCTCCACCCTTTCCCCCTTACTCCCATCTTATTCCTCCCCCTGCTCCCCCGCCCCCAAGCTTTCTTTTCCTCTGCTAGATTCCACTCAACCTACCTTGGCTTAGAAAAGGTTCTGGTGTCTCCACCCATCACTGCGAGGCTCTGGGTCAAGTAGATCACTTGACACAATGCCTGGCACCAGGATATTAAGGGGTTTGAGGCCTGCTGTCAGGATTCCCCTTGCTTCAAGGAACACTCATGTGGAACTTGGAATTTGTCATGCCCACATAGGCAGTGTTAAGCCTTAGCAGTGGAGGAAGATGGCAATTGGAGGATCTTTTTTGTAGCAAAGGTGCATTCCAGAGAACTAAGTTAAGGTGGAAGTGATAGGCAGAGAAGGGAGAAAGATGGGGTGGTGCTTTTGATACTACTAGGGGTCTTGTTGCCTCACCTTTCAGTAACACATGTGGTATGATCCATGTAGGCCTGTGCACATCGCTGGAAAAACATCTACTATGAGACAGAATACATCCTCCCCCATGGTTTCTGCAGCATCATCCCTCCAAACCTCCAGTCCAGCGGTCGAAAATTATTTCCCTGCTATGAAGGTGAGTGTTATTTCTCTGTTGTTATGACAGTGTAGGCTTTCCTGTTGTCTCCAAAAGTATCTATGAGAAGCCCTCATTCATACATTAGAAAAAGTACTGCTGACACTGGCATAACTTGGCAGAAGGATGATCTTGATTTTAAAAATGGGGTGAAGAAGATAATTGGTTTCCATGAGTAGCAGTGTGTGGCTGTGCTTAACTCATAGAGTGATCTACTGTTTGGATGGTATCTTGAGAAAATCATCAACTCCCATATCTGTATGTCACAAGCCACATGACATGAGTACAGCCACTCATACTTATCCGCATGTTCAGCAGTATTGATTAACAGGAAATTACTGCTCTCATGTTTAAGAAATCTTTCTAGTCCCGCACTGTCAGTCACAGGACACGAAACAAGGGGAGAATTGTTGCTCCAAGCCTAAATTTTAGGATAGTGGTAAAACAAATTAGAATAAACTTGCCTCTTTCAGTTGCTGATACTTTTCAAATGGTGTCCAGTGGGCCCCTGATGTTTTTTTCAATGTCTCTCAAAATATTGCAGTAGTTCAAAATAGAGCTGGCATGGCACTGAGAGTGAGAGAATTTGTTTGGAACAATAGAGAACTTTACTCATTCGGGGTGCTTTGATTTTCCCATTTATAGAATGATTTTCCTTTGCAAGTTGTGTGTGTGAATTTAGATCCTATTTCATTCTTTAAAGATGTTAAAAGACAGCCTTTTCTGAGCCAAAAGAAATTACCCCATCTTCCCTAGTGACATACCAGTGCATTTTGGATTGGTTATCTCCAAGCTTTTTCAATTAGACGTTTGAGAAACATTCAAAAAACACACATTCTTCAGTTTCGTAGGTTGGTGTTATGCATCTATGTCAGCGTTTCTCAAACTGTGGGGTGGGGTTGTGCCAAAGGAGGTGCAAGCAGCGTACATTTTATTTTATTAAGAGTTCGGACTGTTAGCACTGCATGGCTGGGGCTCAGGCAGAAGGACCCCACTGCTCAGGCTTTCCTGCTCCCCTACGCCCATCCCTAATTGGGAAGCAGCCTGCACTTAGGTTCTTATCCCCCACCAACCCCAATCCTTCACCAAGAAGCAGCCCCAGGATGGCAGCAGCAGCACAGAAGTAAGGTTGCCAATTGGTACACTAAGTCTGCTATGAAAAGTGACCAAGTGTCACTTTTCACATTGTCTCCCTTACTTCCCATGTGGCACTGTCTTCAGAGCTGTGTGCCTGGCCAGCAGCTGTTGTCTCTGCTTTGCCTTCAGAATGGGATGGCTGAATGTGTGTGCGCGTGCATATGAGAGAGAGAGAGAGAGAGAGAGAGAAGACTACAGACATGAAGGGGCCTGATCAAATAAGTTTGAGAATCACAGATCTATTAATCTTCCCTCCCTCTTTGAGTGCATGAGTTTGAAGGCCAACTTGGAGTACAGTTTGTGTGCAAGACTTAGATTTCTACTGACTTAGATTTCCAATGTCAGGAGAAGCCCGGTGACAGGCTGGCTGCTGACATGAGTAAGTGGGGAAGAATTAACATAGTAGAAGTCTTTGTCAGTTCCTCAGTTGATAATGGATTGCAGTGCCTGAAGTGTCTGCCGTTGCCTTGGGTTTTGCTCCAAGTCTAGAGAGTGCTCAGATCAATTACAGTGAAGACAAAGCTCAAAACAAAACTGGCAAACTTAGACAAACTAGAATTGCAGTGAATGCCAGGAGAATTGTTTAACTCATCGTGTGCCCAGCTATCGCAGGCTGCCATGCAAACCCTTGCAATCGGTCTCTAAAAAAAATCTGTGCCCATCTGGTGTAGGTAACCGCTTGTAATTTGAGCATCAATAGAAAGTCCCCAAAATATTCATTTGAAACTTGAATGGTTTTGAGTCCACAGTTGAACCCTCTGCTTCACTTGATCTATAACAAAATGTGAGCTATAAAATCTTCCTATCCAGAATACTGCCCTGTTTTATTTGCTTGTCTTCCTGTTGGCAGGATCAGGCCAACACTTAAGCAAGGTAATGCAAATTCTGTAATATTAACTTCTGTTATCCCTGCCTCCTTTCCCACCATCCCCATGCAGAATTGCGCCCTGAATTTCCTTAAGTCCTCTTCATTAGGGATGTTCAATATCAATTAATTAACTAATCAAATAGTTGATAGGATTTCCATTGACTATTTGAATAGTCGATAAGGACTAGCGTGCATTCTGCCTTTGAAGTGTTCAAGAGCTCCAGCAGTGGGTCTTGTGCATTTCAAAGACTGAAATGCCCTGCTGACCCCAGGCTCCATGTGGGTGCTTCCATTTTGAAGTGTACAGGAGCCCTGTACATTTCAAAGAGGATGCACTACTGCGCTGCTGTGCCCCTGCCCTGTCCCACAGAGCTGGAGCTGGGGGGAACCGGCTTTTAAGCTGGCTGCCCCCAGCACTCCCTCTTCTTCCTCCCGCCTTGCTGCCTCTTTGTGATAGAGGCAGCAAAGGGGCATGGGGGACAGGATGTGACTAGTCAACTAATGTGTGGACTATCCGATAAGCTTTTGCTTATTGCATAGTCAACTAGTCAATTAGTTGCTTACATCCCTACTTTTCACCATGGTGGTGTTCTTTTAAAAAGCTGTCAGTCACAAATAATTGGAAAGAGGTAGCTCCTGGAAGAGACAATTGGTTGTGTTTTAATGTGCGTCATGGCTTCAGAGTGAAACTGCGAAGCTGCTAGTCTGACAGGCTATTTGCCAGGAGTCGCTAGAAAACAGAAGTGTTTGGGCCCCGTGTCTGTGAAGCAGCCAGTGGAAAATTGGCAGTTTTGGTACACCATGATATTGGCTTAATTTTATTGCATGCTAGAACAAAAATGGGAGGGTTGGGATTGGTTTGTTCATTTCACTGTCAAGTCACACAATATTGCTGAGGTGATGGAGTTTGCTTCTTGTATACCTTTGTGACTTTTAGATTTCAATAAAGTAATTTAACTGTGATACTTGGTTGAGAAGAATTAACTGGAACCCTCCCTGCCAATGGTTCTATTCCCCTCCCTCCCCCCGCCCGTTAGCCCTTCAGAAACTAAAGGAAACAAATCCTCCTTTTAGTGAGAATCTGGGTGAGGTGCTCCATAGACAAATTGAAGGAAAGAAATTAAATATTTTGGTAGAAATAACATGCACAATATAAGTGAAGGCTACTCAACTTTGGAAGCCTCAGGAGCCACAATGATACTCACTGCACATGCCGAGGGCAGCAGCTTAAGTGTGGTTGCATGTACGTGCAAATTAGATGCAAAAAGCTTCTTTCACACTGATGGGCATGAATACAAAGATTAACACAAGACTACACAACACGCAGGCCTCATTTAAGTCAGTTCTGCTGTTATTAATAACATGCAATATTTACCCAATTTTCACTCATATGACAGCACTTTTAATGAGCAATGGCAGTCCAGGAATTTAACTACTAAAGCACATATCAACAGAAGACCATTATATTGACTCACCATTATAAAGCATGTTCCCAATGGAGGCCATGTTCAAAGGACTGTGTGTTGAGCCCCGCATAAACCCAGACTGCATCGCGGGCTGCAAACAAACAGACTGCGGGCCGCATGTGGCCCATGGGCCGCGTGTTGAGTAGCCCTGCTATAAGTGAAATCTTTTCCTACCAGCACTTGTTAGGTGCAGTGCTGAAGCCAACAGGAATACTCATAGTTGCAAGCACAATTCCAAGTTACAGCACATGCATTTGCAGGATCAAGCCCCGGGATTTCAGTTCCAATTAGGGATAACTGTATGAGATGTACTTATAAAGACAGTGCAGTATTTACCACACAAGCTATAATGAGAGGCATCTAACCACTGTCCATGAAGCAGACATGTACTTAATGTACACTATGTATTTAATAACGATTCACCATATAATACAGATTTGATAATTAAAAACAAGAGAGGAAATGGAAACTTCCTTACTGGAGGGCAGTCAGGAAACAAGATAGTGGTCTCGATGTGTCTTATTCTTTTCCCGTCTCCCTAACAGCTGACAGAAATCTGGAAACTATTGTGAGCTAATGAGAGCAGCAGAAGTCCTGATAGTTAAGTGGAATCCTTCTGGTTAGGAGCTAATCTGATTTGTACAGACTGAAGTGCTTTGTGGGGGCATAGAGCGAAGGTCTTCCAAGCTATAGTCTCACTTGATTGGTCTTGCTTTTAATGGCTGCCAGTGTGGCCTACAAGGAAATTAGGAACCCAGCCATCCTGTCCCTCGACTCACTTAATGGGTGGAGATAAAGGGCTGCTGTTGCTACAAGAGACAATTTAACAGAGGTAGGGACAGACAGATGAGCTGGTTTCCTAGCTCTGTGGTGTAAGGGTCAGAAGAAGGGGGAGAGAGAGATGGGAAACTAATTGCTGATGGAGCAAAAATACCCTCCCCCCCAACTCGATCTATTTGAAGGAATGGAGAAATTTTCCCTTAGGGGGACACAATGGTTCCAGCCTGTTATTTTCCCGAGAGCCATACTCTGATCCAATATAAACCCAATATCAGGGGTTTTGGCCATAAAGACAACTGCCATATCCTTTCAGCGTGATGAGCTGCTGCAACACAGGAAAGAAGAGGAGGGGATTAAATATGTTGCCTTTGGCTTTCAGGGCAAATGACTGAACACGTAACAGCTATCTGTGTTGCTTTAAACTGTCAACAGCATATGTAATAGAGGCTCTTTGTGTGCATGTGTGCATTTTTTTTTGATGGGGGAACTAATGCATTTAAGCAATACTTTGTTTAATTGGATGTGGGAAATGTCAGTTCCTCATCCAGTGCTGCTTTTTTTAGTTGTAATTTAAAAGATAGAAGAGGACTTCTTTTTCTGAGGGTATGTCTACACTACAGTGTTATTTTGAAATACCTTATTTTGAAATAACGCATCTATACACAAAATGCATTTCGAAATAGCATTTTGCTATTTGAAAATAGCGCGTCCACACTGAGTGGACTCTGAATCGCATTTAAGACTGGCCG